TCAGAGCACAACCGCTAACAAATGATGTTAGCATATATCAAGGTATTGCCCCCATGGCCGCAGTAGTAACGGCACTGTTGGCTCACCTATTGGCCGGTATGGGCACCTGGATTCAAATATAGTTAGAGTTTAGCATTTAAACCTTCGAAAGACTGAAATGAATGCCGATTTATGAGTGGATTCTCACCAGTGTCATTTATTCATTCAATTCATTGTATGTATAAAATGTTGTTTTTATTAATTTAAATTGATTGCTTTATCTATGATTATTGTCCAGTTAATTATTGTAAGAATTTGATGTAATTAAATTAATTATATTATGAATTCAAGTTTTAATTAATTAATTTGATAAATACAGTATACTCATTCAATATATAATATACAGTATAATAATATAATATATTGATCAAAACAAACATTTTTTCATTTTCATAAACTACTTTTTATAAATTTCAATAAATATTAGATAATTTTAATTCAAATTTAATGCTTTTTCTGATAATATTAGAAAACGTTATTAATATTTTGTATAAAATTTAAAAAAGAATTTTTAATTAATTAATTTAAATAAATTAAAATCTTTAGAATTGAGTTAAAATTAATTTATATCGTAATTAAATTCAGTACACCATTTTATTATATACTTATATAATTAATATTAATATTTATTGATTACTTTTTATTGGTAATATACTATTAATTCAAATTAATAGACAAATGAGACCAAAAATTATATTTGTATTAAAAATTCATATGAAATACGAAATAAATACAAAGTTTTTGACTTTTATTGCAAACAAGGTTTGAAAGGTGGGTGCCGTGCGAGTCATGCAAAAAAAGGCGTGAATAGGTGAGCCAACAGTGCCGTTACTACTGCGGCCATGGGGGCAATACCTTGATATATGCTAACATCATTTGTTAGCGGTTGTGCTCTGAATGATTGCATTACTTTTGATATAAGTGAGCACTACATTGGACACAACACTCGGGTATTTGTCGGTGTTGTACGCCCTGAGCGCTACGTAATACACGCCTCCGGTGTCCGTATTGAAGCGGATCTGACATCTCTGCTCTTTGCCGTAACCGTCAGCCATAGTATCGATGGTTACGTTAATGTCGGCGCCGATCAAGTCGTCAAACTTGGTTCGGATCTCTTGCAACAGTTTCTCGTCCTCCTCGTGGCTATCATTTTGATGGAAGGCTTTGATCACATACTTGTCGGTATATCCCGACGTATAGTCCCCTCCCGGCGCTGTCCACAACAGATTAATAGTCCTCTTCTCGTACTCAACCGATTCTGCCCTCAAATCCCTGACCGGATTGGGCGGGTATTCGCGACTCACGTGGTTATCGGTGACGAAAAGTGTGCCGCACTCTAGCTTTCGGCTCAATTTGGTTACACTAAGTGTAATGNGGTTATCGGTGACGAAAAGTGTGCCGCACTCTAGCTTTCGGCTCAATTTGGTTACACTAAGTGTAATGGAGTCGAGCTTCCCGTCCACTCGTGAGCCACAACAGGCCGTATCACTGGACGTCTTGGGCAGAGAAGTGCTGCCAAAGTTTGTGGTCAAGTCTACCGTACTTTCTATGTTTGAAATGTCGGCGCTCACGGTATAGTAGCCCTGATTTCCTATGTCTGTGATATAGTTGGAGAATATTCCGTCGCCTTTCGTAATGTCCGGTGCGCCCGACCCGTTGTCATACATATCGATAACTTTCGGTTGACTTCCCTTTGCATCGTATATAACACTCAATTTGACCGAAACATTGGCTATGAGTTCGTCCAGTTGTCTATGAATGTTGACGTAAGCCATGACCGGCCTATTAGTGTCGGTCTTCGGATTAAACACTTGCGTATTGAGCCAACACTGGGCTGTAATGGACTCGTCATCCACTGAATTGGTGAACTTCTACCACAGCGACCACCGATTCAGATTTGCTGACATCGCGAGTGGCTGTCAGATGCCATTTGCCTGAGAGGTCATCGGATGTGGTGGTGAAGACACAGCCCTCGAAATAATTGTTGATTGATATAAAGTTCATGTCAATAGGTCTACCCGTGGGTACTTGTAGCTTGACATTTGACAATGAACTCTCAGTCGACAAAGTGTTTGTCCGCATAAAATATACTCGTACTGTCTTTCCCATCAGAGTACTGTCCACATTGATCTCGAAGTCAATTTTATTATCCCCGGAATTTTCTACATATTTCTCATCGATTATCTGGTAATCATCGCTGAGAGCACCGAAGGCTTTGACAAATTGGTGGGCCGTGCGAATGGCCGATGAGTCCTCGCGCACGTAGACTACCCGTCCACTCGTCACGGAAGCGGCCGTTTGGAAGAGCGAAGACGCGAACACTCTGTTCTCGTGTGAATCAAAGGGGAAGACAATTATATTCAATTTGATGCCCTTATCCCTCAACTGTACGGCCAGTTTGTCCACTTTCTCCACACTATTGGATGTCTTGATCCCGGGTCCACCGATCACTATGATAAATGTGCCCCCATTGGCCCTATTCATAAAGATGCTAATATTAGTCACATATTTAACTTTATTATTTAGATTATATTAAAATTTTCGGATAAATGTATACTGTACAAATATTTATAAAAAGTATTTTATTTACCTATTATTAAATAAAGTGATTCCATGGGCCAAAACGTTTTCAAAATCCAGGCTTTCTGTGGTCTCTGTTGATCTTTTTAACGTTCTTAAGTTATTACCCGTTGTCCACGGGTGCACATTCTTTATATCCTGATCGGCACCCGATACAAAAGTGAACAGGGATACTGCTGTGTTCGCAAACAATTTTTCAAACTTCATGAGACCTAAATTGACCCATTTAATGCGATCATCATTGAGATCATTTGCCATTTTGGCGTTTTGTATTGCAAATAGTGTTCTCATATTATTGTCCGGAATATCCGATTGCTTAGCGATTATGAACGTCGGCTCAGCGTTTGTTTGATCTGTTATTCTGTTATAATTGGTATGCATTTTATAATTAATATACAGAGTATTTATAATAAATAAGTGCTTAATTTCAGAGTAACATTTTGCACAAAACTAACTTATAATTGCTTATCATTTTTACAAACTTTGCAAGTTGAGAGTTTCTGGATTTTGAGATATTTTGCTTTATTAATTTTTAAAAATTCTTTATTTGTGAAATTTTTATGAATTAAAATCTATTAATATCAGCAACGACGCAATGGATTTAGGATTGCGGTGATCTCCACTTTGTTAGAATTGTCTTTCAAAATATTAAAAGTTATTTGCTTGCACCGATACCGAACCTTGTGCACAGAATTTTCTAGGTTAAAAATTAATTTTCTCTATGTATTTTGAAAATACAGGTAAAGGTATATAACAATCAAACAGGTATAAAATAATTATATAGAGAAAATTAATTTTTAACCTAGAAAATTCTGTTCACAAGATACAGTATAGGTGCAAGCAAATTACTTTTAGTATTTTGAAAGGCAATTTTAACAAAGTGGAGATCACCCAGATCCATTGCGTCGTTGCAGAGATTAATGGATTTTAAATCATAAAAATTTCACAAATAAAGAATTTTTAAAAATAAATAAAGCAAAATTTCTCAAAATCCAGAAATTACTTTTTTCTTATTGACCCAGTGCACAATTTCCAAAAATTAGATCTTACCTACATCTTATATTTTTTGAACTATTAATGGACAAGCATATCTACCGTTCCCCTTGTGCCACAATAAAATTGGGGATACCGATCGATCGGTGCCAAAGAACAATAGTTGCAAAAAAAATTATTTTGTTCTAGCTCTATCTAACGATTTTTAATGCTAAATAAACCATTTACCACCCTTTTAGCGAAAGCTTTATATCCGGCACAAAACTTCATGCGCTTTGTTTGGGCGAAAATTACACGATTTTCTGTACATATTTCGCTGCCATAACCTATTCTCGTGAAAAAAGTTCACTTCTCAGCCAAAATGCTCAACAAATCTCTCTCTCTCTCTCTCTCTCTCCAACTTAAACACAAATAACACAACAGGTATTGACTCTTACAATACACATTACAATAGGCAGAGACAGATAGTGATAGATATAATGTGTGATAATAAAGCATAAAATTGTGTCACAAATCATTTTTCCTCAACCAAAACAACTTTAAGAGATAAATATATTTCTCTCACAAACAAAGCGTTTAATTCTCATATTATTGAGTGTTTAAAAATATATGCATGGTGTAAATTGTATATAAAATTTTACAAAACTGTATTTCCATTTACCTTGAGTTTATCCAAGAGATCAAGCTGATCTTTGTCTCCGTTGACTTCAATATCCGGACTGATGGCTATGACTAACCCTTTGTAAGCGCCGTTATCTACCCGTAGGGATGAGTGTGAACCCAGACACACATTTGCCAAATATAGTAATCCATAGGACAGTGCGAGATAATAATTTACGTCAAACAATGGGAATCGCATTTTTGGTGTCAAATAGTTTTTTGATGACACGATGGGCTCAATGTTTATTTAATTATTATTTATATATCATTTCTGTATTGGTATACATGATTAAACGAAATTTATTATCATTGCATTCTTTTTAATCATAATTAATATATTGAATTGACGTAAATTAAATAAATTCTAATTAATACTTAAAAGATTAAAGATAAGTTCAATAATAAAATATGTTTAGTAAATAATTAACTTACGGATTGAAACAACTTTAAGGAATTATTATTTTTATATAAACACTAGCTATTAGTTTATTAAATTAAAATTATAAGAAATTCCATTATGTACTAATTTGTTCAATAATTTACTATATCTTATTAGTTTTTAATTTAAAATAAATAAAAGAAAAATAAAAATGTGTTTTTCATAAAATATTACATTGAATCCTAAATATTTTTATTGTACAAATAAGTAGTCAACCTTGTAATATCAATGAATTAATTGGTATTGCTTATAATGTGCTAACTGCCTAAAGTACATCAGCATAAGTTTCACGAATTATACTTTTATTCAAAATTATACAATGTAATATAAAAATAAACAATCAATAAACTTTATAAGTAAAAATTGTATAGTTAACCAAATGTTATATATATGCTAATATTATGATATATAATTTTCATTACCTTTCCTTTAATTAGGGTTTCCACACTTTGTGTCCATCAAAAAAACAAACAAAATTACAATAAAATAAATTCAAAATCAAATTAAAACTTATTTCAAAAATATTTTGTAATATATTTTTTGCAAATGGTTATATACCACAATAGATAATGGTCGCACTTATATTTCACTGATTAATTGTAATCGCACCACTCACAATCACCACTTAAAAGTGAAATTCAACATTGAAATTGATGTATTGACAAGTGCGGTGGTAATTGGTATTACTTGTTTAAACAAAAAAATTGATAAATTAGAAATGCCAGTCTACAATAATGATTTACTTATTACCTGTGGTAAAGTAAATATTTTCTTTAATTTAGCTTGGCTCAATAAATAATTTTTAATGAAAATGTAAACCTCTCTTAAAACTTCCATTAAATTTACTTGATTTAGCATGATTAATTTAATTTTATATAAGAATATTGAATTTTGTAATATGTATATTGTACTAGTAATTTTAAATTGAATATATTAAATTTTTAATAATCCAAAAGAATTAACTTATATCGAATATACCTGTACATATTATTCAACATATTTAAGGATTTGAGCTTAACATTTTAAATGAATATTTCTAGATTAGATAGTTGTTTGCTTACACAATAAGTATTTCATAACAACATAATATATTTTTTATCAATTAACTCACAACTGGCGCCTTGTATTAAATGTGTAGGTTAATTGTACCATTGAAAATATTTCAAATAATGAACTTTAAAATTATTGAACTAGTTCATTTAAGTAATCTCACTGAATCTATCAAATACAAATAACTTGTTTAAGAGTTCAACTTAAAAATTATAATTAAGAAATTACAATTAAAAACAGTAATAATTGCCGTCGTGATCATTTTATTTATAAATTAAGTACATGAAGTTCAAATATAGATTTCATTATTACTCAAGTTCTAAAGTACAAACCAGATAAGATATATATTTATAAAAATTATATTTTATTCCCAATACTATATGGTTAGGGCATGCACATATTATTTTGTATATCAATAGTGTTAAATAAATATACTATGAGTATACCTGTAATACTATGAATAATCAAAGCCTTATATCTAAATATTAGGTGAAACAGAAAGTCCGTGGAACAATTCATTTTAATATTTTCAAAGTTAAAGCAGAATACTTAAAAGTACT